GATTTTCTTTTTGCAATGAAGAATGGATGTCCGGTCAAACTCCTCGCATTCATGTCAAAATTATGAAAGCGGAACCTTTATAATTGAGCACCAAAATATTTTTTTTAATTTTAAATTTTCGATTAAATTATTTTATTCTATACAATTGATTTGTATTCTGGAATATTTTTGAAATTTAATCAAACATCAAAAAATAATAAAAAAATACATAGGATTGAGGTTTTGAACTTTCCAACTATAACGTTGCTTATCGAAACTTTCGGTTAATCAAAACGAAAAACCGAAAATCTTCGGTTCGGTTTGAAACCGACAATCCTATCTAGTATCAATTCTGCTGTTATCAATAAATAAATTTTGATGTTATTTATTTCGATGAATTCGACAAGTTTATTTTATTAACGCTTATTAAAATTATAATAAAATATTTTTCCCAAAAATAACTATAACTTTATTATTTTTTTAAATTATAAACACAAATTTAAATGGAAATATAAAATTATTTTAATTACCGTATTTCCTAAAATAGTACTCCCCCCTGAATTAGTACTCCCCCCTTAAATAGTACTCCCCTTTGGAGGAGGGTTAAAAAATAGTACTCCCCCCTTAAATAGTACTCCCCCTAAAATAGTACTCCACCCTAAAATATTTTTCCCTATATTTGAAAAAAATTATAGTAAACTCATTAATTATTTTATTGAAATTTACTTATTTAATTATTTTATTTATTCTATGTAGCGTTGTCGGTTTCATTTGATTCTCCGATAACCGAAACCGAACAGCTTTCGGTTAACCGAAAACGAACCGAAATTTTAACCATAAATTTGTCGACGATTAAAGAGATATAATGTAGTTAATTTGTGGGGTAAAAGTGGATTTGGGAGATATAAAGGGATTATATCAGGTGGTAAATATGTTTTGGATTGATCATGTGGGGTCTAAAAGATATCATTGGATTAATGTTTCATAAAGGAAATTGAGGGAATAATGAAGGATGTCATATTAGGTGATTTTGGTTGTTAAGTGATAAAGATATGAAATTGAATCATAAATCCTCCTTAATCCACCGATATTTCTTCGTTATTTCTAATTCAAATCCTCAGATATCCAACACACTGGTATCCAACTCACATCATTTGATCCCTTGTTATCACGCCGAAATATGGATATCATGTGATTCGTAGGGATATCGGAAGAACAAAAGTGATGTGGAGGATATCGGTGATTAGTGCTGATAAATCCCTAGACACAGAGATTAGGACATCTCTAAACACAGGATTACACTGGACACAGCTAATCGCTATACACAGGAGATTAGGAAATCTGCTGATAAATCCCCCTGAAGGATATCTAGAAAATTTGACGCATATCAAATGTATAGTCTTAATTGCATAAATCCCCTTATATCCCTCGATATCACACAAATTCACTCATCACTCCAAATCCACCGGATCCGGCATTTTTAAATAAAACTCTGACATTTAGAATTTTCAAATAAATTTTCCTATAATAAATCATGGAAGAGGGTTGAAAAATAGTACTCCCCCCTGAATTAGTACTCCCCCCTTAAATAGTACTCCCCTTTGGAGGAGGGTTGAAAAATAGTACTCCCGGGAGTACTATTTTAGGAAATACGGTAATTTATTGTTAATAATAGGAATAATTTAATTAATAATAATCTAATTAATAGGAATACATTGGTTAAGTGGAGCAGGGTTATTAGTACACAGTCCATTTACAAAAGAATAAGCACCAGTAGCCGTAAAGCAAGCACTTTTTGGCGACGAAGTTGTAAAAGAAACTGTTACAGTTCCAGTTAGACAAACACCACCAATTACTAGGTAACCACTAGCTACAACAAAAGGTTGATTTGTGCAAATTGTAATGGCGCCGGATGAAATAGCATCGCCATTCGAATCTATATTGCAAGAGCCTTGTAGTGAAACGCAGTTACCACTCTGTGTGACTGCAAAACTTCCACCATTTGGACATGTTGGAATAACTAAATTTTTTGTATTTACTTTTCGAATATTTTTTTTTTGTTTTCTAAATTATGATAAAATTTAATCTAGGTACTAATTATACTCATCAATATTTTTTCTTTTTTCAAACTGATATTGAAAGATGGCTTTCCCCTCTGAAATTTTAATTTATTAATAAAAAATCCACAAAAAGTTTTCTGAACAACTTTCTATAAATATCAATAGAAAATACAAAAGAAACGGGGTATATGAAGAAACGGGGATATATGATAAAATTTACTATAGGTAAAATAACTGAAAGAAATTTTTTAATTTCTTTCAGTTTCTGGCACGAACAGGAAATGAAAGGGACTTGAAGTTATATATTTTGAAGGTTCATGGGAATCTGGAAAAACTTACCACTCTGTGTAACCGAAATTAATTTTTATTTAAATTATAATCTATTATTGTCGACAATGTAAAAATATTTTCATAATTGTGTTTTTAGAATTAAGCCGATTAAATTTAATCCATTCATTTTAGACTTTTAAATTTAAAGTATAACAAATTGAAATACTAAATAAATTCAAGTAAAATTTTATCGTCTTTAATATTAATTACATAGACAACTTTACCTTACCTTCGTTAACCAGAAAAACAACACACAAAAATTTTAAAATTACCTATTTTAATAAATAAATTCATTTTTAAATTTACTTACAATTAGTTAATTTGATTTATTAGTCGAAATTTTATTTATTTAAATACATCTCGAGAAATTAATTTTTATTTAAATTATAATCCATCATTGTCAACAATTTAAAAAATATTTTACATAATTGTGTTTTTAGAATTAAGCCGATTAAATTTAATTTTATTAAAAAATATTAATTTAAGAATTTATTTAAATTTTATTTAAAAATATTACTTTTTGTCCTTTTAATCGGCTTAATTTTAAAAAAGAATTATGTAAAATATTTTTTAAATTGTCGACAATAATAGATTATAATTTAAATAATTTTATATATCTTTTGGTTAACGAATGTAAGGTAAAGTTGTCTATGTAATTAATAAATAATAACGATAAAATTTTACATAAATTTACTCAGTATAACAATTTGTTGTACCTTAAATTTAAAAATCTAAAATGAATGGAAAAGCCAACAGTTTTTCCAGATTCCCATGGACCTTCAAGATATATAACTTCAAGGCCCTTTCATTTCCTGTTCGTGCCAGGAACTGAAAGAAATTAAAGTTTCTTTCTGTTATTTTACCTATATTAAATTTTATCATATATCCCCGTTTCTTCATACACCCCGTTTCTTTTCTATTTTCTATTGATATTTATAAAAATTGTTCAGAAAACTTTTTGTAAATTTTTTGATTAATAAATTAAAATTTCAGAGAGGAAAGCCATCTTCCAATATCAGAAAAACTGAAAGAATATTGGTGCGTATAATTAATTAACAGAGTGTACTTCGATTAAATTTTATCATAATTTAGAAAACAAAAAAAATAACAAAAATTTTAAATGATAGAAAAATATCAATACTTGAATGAATTCTGCTTTACGGTATGGGGAAAAGCAACAATCCATCTACTAGGAAGACAGTCTGTTGGCACTAAGTAGCGATAAGGATTCCGAACAGTAAAATCACCCTTAAATATTTATTATAAAATTCATTTAGAAATGTATGGCGTCTTCAACTAAGTGTAAAGTCAAAACGCCTTAAAGCCCATCGTTGAGATAAAAAAATTAAAATGTTATAGTAAAGTATTGAAATCAAACCTTTTCGTTGTCATTTGGATTTACTGTAATATTATTTCCAAAGTTAATAGTCGGCAATTTACGAAAACCAATTTGAACTTTGTTTTGATCTACACAAATTTGACACAAAAACAAAAATCAAATTTGGCATAATCACCCTTCTCCCAATCTGTGCATCTGTTCATTAATCATCTCACTACGCACAACTGGTCCAACTGCATTAGCCTACAAAATTCATAAATATTCAAAGCTAACAATAAAAAACCCATAAGAAGATCACTCGAAATTTGAGCCAGTTCATCAGTTAATTGCATGTTATCAAGGGATACACGCTGGAAAGGCAAGATCTCGAGGAATTGAAGTGGGTAAAGTGCCTGAAATAAATGTAATAAACTAAAAGATAAAAAATATATAAAATAAATAATATTATAATATTAAAGAACATTTCAATTTATAAATTCTCACATCACGATCAACATGTTGACTTAAGGCAGGCATGTTTCCTTCAATTCTAACATTTTTCTTTTCAGCAAAATACTGGATCATTGGAATGTTTCTACCATCGACTCCTCTGATCTTTCGTTCAATATGAAATTAGGGAATGAAGAATAATTCAAAATAATAACAGATACCATTTTTGAACAATCTTTAGATGTGTTATATGCTAAAATTTATTTCTAACTTATTTAGTAATATATAACATACTTTTATAATAAGATCATATAGCCTTATCAACCTTAAGCAACTAAAACCTACTTGCAGGTGGGCTCAGTGGTAGAGCCCAACTCTTTTTAAAATCAGACATTTTTATAAATTTCCGTTTTTAAAATTTATCAAAAAAATTTACATTGACTTTTAAAGTTTATATGTTTATCGATGCGTAATAAATTTTAAAAATTAAATTTTTCTAACAAAATTATCGTTATATTTTTTATTTTTTTGAAAAATATCCTTGTATTATTTTACTTCTGTAATTTTGAACTTTGAATTGGAACAACTGGTGTAGTATTTATTCTCGAAAACAAAAATTTTTTGATTGAATTGTGGTAGTCTTTGCTAAATAAATTTTGTTAAATTTTAACTAAATTATTTAACTCAATAGAAAAAATTTTTATATTTCCAATAAATACTTTTATATAGGAAGGTATAGGAAGATAAGTTAGACTCCTCTACCTTCCTACCAGTACCTTCTAAAAATATATTTTCTTAATTGATATATTGTTGTGTATGGACGTCAGCCCTTAAAGTGTCTAATATAAAAGCCCAGTCAATAGTTAGTTCTCGGTCTGTGTTTTAGTTCTTCCTACCACAACCTTCATCTGCTTTGTACTTTCTTTGTGCGATAAACGTTCTGTTAGCTTCCTCTTCGTAAGCGGGGTCGTAACATATATACATACACTAAAAATATCCCCAACTTTCATTTTTTCCAACCTGCAAGTATAAAGAACAAAAGTATTGGCACATCCAACAAAAATCAAAACTAAATCCAAACAATCCATGATTATAAAACCTAAAGGGTAAGGACTTGGAAAAAATATTGGAACTAATTGACGACTGATAGAAGTACATATCCATCCAAAAATTATCATTAATAAAATAATAATTATAGATTTGTTTACTCCTTCAAGTTTTTTAACGTTATTTTGAGTAGTTGGAGCCTTTTTTCGAAAATAAAGTCGAATAAATATCAAAATATAACAAAACACTGCAGCAGCTGTTAATGTAAGACAAACACGTAAAAGTATATCTCCATAAGGACCATTCCAAAATTCAGCAATGGAACAACGCAGCATTCTATATTAATATTTTTAATACATATATGTATTTAATATTAGCCAGAAATCAACAAGGGAGATCGGAATAGGTTTATCTTACTGACCCAGAACCCAGTGACCGTTGACTCCTTGCGAGGCGCGGAGTTTTGCACAAGCGCCTCGCAGACGCTCCTTAGGTTTAGGGTTTTTTAACTTTGTCCAAACTTGTACAATTTCCAACCTAATTTTTGGCATCGTGCTAGAGGTCGACTTCATTAATCCCTTGATTTCGTCTTAAAACGTAAACTAAGATGTCAGGGGATTTGGAGGAAAGACACCTGATTTTCTGATATTTATCTTCCTTAGAACTTGATATTCCTCATAATCCCTACCCTTCTTTAATCATTGGTATACTTCTTAATCCAAATACTTTCTTAATATATCGAAATCAACGATATTAAAAGAAATATTTTTCTATATTAGTTAAAAATTTCAAACGTCGAGTTAGTATTTGATGAAAATATAACAGCAAAATATGAAAGCAAAATGCCGACAGCCACCGCAATTGTACACAACAAAGATAAATAACTTTTAATACCCAGATTTCGATGCCTTAATTTTAATTGTTTTAGTTAATTTTAACAGACTAATTTATAAGAATTTGCCTTTTTAAAATAAATAAACATTCAGTTTTATTATAATTCAAACTAGAGTAGAATGATATCGATATTTTAGAAAAAATTCGACTACCGAAAGTACTGAATCTGTACTTTTCGGCTTCACTCTAATGCGAAGTTCCTTTGCTGGCGCCGAAGGCGAAAATTTTGAGAATATTGCAAGGCCAACCCATATTAAAAAACAAATCCGTAGGGGTGTATAGAAATTCTGGGTTGCCCGGAACTAATTTGTAAACCGGAGCCGGAACCGGGTCCAATTTGAGTTCCGGTTCCAGTAAAACTTTACTCTTTATATGTACAGATCATTTTTTACTATTAATGAAATGAATGAAATACCAAATAGGAAAAAACACAGCAAGTAAACGATCAAGCCCAATAAAAAATACAAAAACAAAGGACATATGAAAAGCAGTAAGTGGAGCAATATTAAACCATAAACATTGACTTGTCGTAACTTTAAATTTTCCATAAATTGCGTAAAGAATTGCAGCAATTATGCCAGTGGAAGCAACAATTAAATCACAAAATGCATTTACTCCAAGTAAATAAAAACAGCTTGATGTTCTTAATCTTTAAGTCAAAATTTTGAAAAACGTCAAAAATTCAAAAATACTTTTCTAATTTAATTGTAATCAAAACAAGAAATCCATTAGACAATACAGAGAAAATACCCAAAAATAACAGCACGAGTATATCTATCAAAGTAAAAATGTCTTGGTATTCAGGACATTGACAGGTTGGAGATTGCTAAAATTTGTTTTCAATTTTTTATTTAAAAGTTTACAGGATTTCTTGGTCCACTTGCATTCATTTGTCTTATTTAGTTTTTAATTTATCAATAAGAAACTAAAAAAATTATTAACAGAATTAATTATAGGTCGCGTCATAATTACAAATTTTCTTTTTCTTTATTAATAAACATATAAATCTGAATCTAACCTTCATTTTAATACCAGGTATAGCTATATACTTTTTGAAAAATTTAGACCTTTCTAACTAAAAATTCGTCTTTGTGCTCTCCTGATAGAGATTTAGAAAAGCTTACGAATGATATATTACACTAAATATTATCGTTATATATGTATACTCAAGAAAATTTGATTTTCGATGATTCCGAAAATTTTGACATTTTCGATCAGATCTCCATGAATACCATCCCAAAAAATCTCAAATGCTGGGATCCTTTAGAAAATACACTAACAAATGATTCGCAATATAAATAAAAAATATTTTCAGAAAACTCAATTTTAAAAACCAAAATTAAAAAACTGTCACTAATTATCACGCGAACTAATATAAAAAATACAATTTCGAGTTTATTAATTTCTTCCGTGCAGATACATTTTCGTATTCAATAATAAAATTTTTGAGCTAAATATTTGTTTGGTACATATTTAATAATGAACTTTTAAAGAATATTCACTTAACCACGCCTAAAATATGGTCCATTTTATTTAAATTCCATGTCAGACCAGTACTTGAATACGAAACGGAAATCTGGAATCCGATGACTAAAACCCTTACTAATCAGATTTAAATAAAAATAGTGTATTGAAGAAATAGTGTATTATTGAAGTCCTAATTTCATCATTTAAAACATTCCGCATTTTAGTTACCCTATTAACAAATGAGTTTGATGACTTGAATTTTGATTTTTAAATAACAAATAACATTTTTTCCAATTGATATTTTAAAGAGATTGTCTGATTCAAGTTGTGTATATCCATATAGGATTTATGAGCTTAAACGAGATCATACGCTCTACGAAGGTTTTCCAAAGTAGGAATATTAAGAAATTCTAACCTTTGAAAGTATAGTATATAAGGTAGTGAGCATTTTCTAAGAAGGGATTTTGTAGACTTTCTGGCATTTTTCAATTTTGTTAACATCTAATCTTAGTTGTGGATTCCAAGTTTCAGGAGAGTATTCTAGCAATGGTCTTATTTAACTTTTATAGATAGTAAGCCATGTTTTTATAGATTTACCTATCTAATAATAGTAAGGTTTTCTTATAACTCCCCAACAAAAAATAATTTAATAAAACTTGGAAATGAAAAAATTTATAATCAACTTTTAATGTTTATACGTTTGACGATGTTTCAAAAATTAAAAAAAATTTTTCTAAAAAATTATCGTCATATTTTCAATTTTTTGAAAAATATCCTTGTATTATTTTACTTCTTTCATTTTAAACTTTGAATTAATTTTGCTTTAATTATTTTAAAAATTTTTTTCTTTTTAAATGATCTTAGATTTAGATTGATCTTAGATTTTGATCTTAGATTTAAAAAGAATAACAGGTCAATTTAATAACAGGTCAATTTAACTCATTATGACCTGTTATTTAATTTGCTATTGGTTTAAAACAAGAAGATTATCTGTGTAAAGGTCATATAATAAACACAAATTTTATCTGTATATATCAAAAATTTTCTAGATAATTTTTATCAACATACAAGAAAAAGATTGACCGAAATATTTTCCGATAAAAAATCAAACTTCATTTTTTCCCTAAGTAAATTTCCGCGCAATTTCTGGATAGGCTAACTATTATAAATTTTTCTAGCCAAATAGAAAGTTGTACCTGGACATATTTGGTACCATTTAATAGGTATTAAATAAGGCTACAAAAATACACAAAAATAAAAAAAGCCAAAAGAAAATTTTTTGAGTAAAACCTATAAAACGCCAAGAGAAAATTTTTCCCGAAGTAATTTTCCGCCACTGTAAACCTAATCGTAAGCCTTTCCTCGGTTTTCTAGTGAAAGAATTTGTAGGTATTTTAATCTTTTCATAAGAGATATAAGGTAATCTACATTTCTGTAGTACAATATTTACTACAAGTATTTTCTATAAATATTTTTTAATTTTATAAATACAACAATTTTAAATTCTTATATTTTATTCACGGGGGTATAGAATTAAATTTTAGAATTTCTCTTTCAATTTATTCCTTTTACTTTATGCGGTAAAATTTAATTAGACAGATGTTAAAATTCAAAAAAAAATATAAAAGTTGAGTAAATATTTGCGCAAATATATTAAACAATTGCCTTATAAATTAATTAAGACATATTTTTAAAAGGTTATCTAGTTTTTAATAAAATCGAAAGGCTGTCAGCATATATAAGATATACCCAATTGAGGATAATTTTGAATAGATGCCTCCAATTTTGATACATCTGATTATATAATATGATATTTTTAGCCTCAAGTAAATAACTTATTCATATTGCAAGCCGACTAACTGAATGGCACTGAATAATAGTGAATCGAATTTGTCTAGAAATGCCATATTTGCACCATTTAATGTATAATTTTAATTCTCAATCCTTTTTGACTAAATTTACGGCAGATTGCAAATATGGTAATTTAATTTCGTTACCACCTTTACTTCCTTGAGTAGCTCTTCGTTCATTTTTCGTTAATTCTTCGTTAATTTTTTTATTAGTATTTATTTTAGGCGCTGAAAGTCTTCCAGTATAGTTTAGATAAGTATTGCATTCTGTTTTTATTTTTTTATTAATTTTTTCCGGTAAAAAATCTATCATCTTTTTCACATCAACATTGAACTTATTATTATAAAAAATACAAATGAATTCTATTTACACAAATTTATTGATAAGTTAAAATTTTAATTTATAAAAAAAGGAATAACGTTAAAAAGAAATAAAGTTGATTTTCTTGGACGTCTCGCCCTAATTGTCTACCACATGAAATAATTTCTAACCATTTACTTTAAAACCGATTGTCTGAGTTTTTTACTTTAAAACCGATTGTCTTGTCTGAGTTTTAATAAATAGGAAATATAACGAATAGGTGTTCTAAATACAGGTAATCGAGAGAGAGAGAGAGAGTTTTAACCGAGAAAGTTTTAAAAATAAAAATTAAAGAAAAGAGGTTTTTAGGTTTTCATTATTACCAATGAAATGAATAACCGGATTTAACAGCTTCTTCATTCCCGGACTCTCCAAATTTTTTAACTTTTCCATTTGTCTTCTTGCTTTTCCATTTTTGTCCATTTTTAAATATAATAATTTTATGAATAAATTAACCTGAAATTGAAAAGGAAAAATTAAAACTGCAAAGTAATTTTAATTTTTTCAAGCTAAAATTTAAAAAGTATTTAGGTTCCTAAAGCGCAGCGCACTTTTCCAA